ATGTGGTTATAGTCTGCCTTGGAAGGTCCTACAATGTGCAGTCTCAGAAACCATTTTCTGTATGGCTGCATCCCACAATACACACTAACCAAACACTCACAAGAAGACTGGGAGAGGAGAATATAGATAAGAGCACAGTACACAGTACACTTCATGCACATAATTACTTTTCAACTGAAAATTCATTATTCCAAAATAAGAAATTTTAATTTATATTGAGTTTTTTTACCCTCATAACCCATACATTAATTCCTGTAAAAAATGTTTCAATGTTTTAGTGATTTTAACAGGCTGTTATGGTATTGGTACAACTAGTTCTTAACAAATGCCAAATTTCTGATGTAAACAGCAAGCTAGATTTAAAATCATTCAATAATTGAATATACGGAATAGTGTAGGAGTCACGGAAGTGCTTTAGTATTTTACTTAGAAGCAAAACTTTAGATATTTAAGCCTCAGTCTATTTTAAATTCTAAATTAAAAAAATACGAACACTGCGCTTCTGCGGTTAAGTTACAACAGAAACAAAAAACATGGCTATTTTTTTTAATAGGCAAGCTTTCTGCAGACCACAAACGTACGTCTTTAACTCGAAATACACAAAAGAGCTGACCTCTATATAATTCTGCGGTAGCTGTTCCTAAATGCACAGAGAACAGATTCTACAGTTACTGTAAACGCGTGTATGACCTCTCAAGAACTTAATACACTTCACCACACCTTCCCCTTTATCCACCAACAGGAGGCGCCATACACCACTTCCGTTCTTACCAAAGGAATGGAGAGTTTCCTCTGGAGGCCAGCTGACATATTGTCAAACACCCCCAGGCATCCACCCAGATACACACTTCCCTGCTTTCCTTGATAGCCTGGTGAGACCACCTGCTGAGGGTCTTTCTTCATACATGAAGAATCCTCACCATGACCACCCGCAACGGTGACGAAACGTTCCCGCGCCAGCACTCATTAGGCTGGTTGGGTCCCATGGGATCCCATTTTCAACACCAGGCTCCACTTCATTGCTAATGTGGCTCCCCTCCCTATCAGTTCCTAATTCTTCCATCTACTCTTCATGATAGCCGTGAAAGTGAAACCTTGTGTGTTCTGCTCTACACTGCCATTACGAAGCACTGCTCTAAAAACTCAGGCTCCAGGCTCATTCGTGCACCAGGTTACACGGGCCTCCCCACTGGGCTCCAAACGCTCATCCAGCTCCTCGTTCTTCTCTCCTGGCAACATCAAAAGTCTGCGCAGCAGCGTTTTTATGTTCATCCTCAAAAAGTAATATAGAAGAGTGAACAGTCTCAGCATAAAAAGGGACTATTGCAGCCTGACTATTTTTTCCCCAAATAAGCTTTATAGCAGCCCTGCATAGTGTACTCAACTGGCAGTATTTTTGCCTCTATAATTACTAACTCCCAAGACAGTCCTAAAATTGATGCACTTTTGTTTTAACAGAACAGTACAAATATTCCTCAGGCCATTTTGTATATTATTTTGTTTTCTATTATTAGACGCTCTGTTCTTAACCATTATTCCAAATGAGAAACATAAGGCTTAAGTTCAGTGCGGAATTAACCTCCATTTGTTCCTTTGTATATAACTGTGCCTGCTGCCCACTCACAATCGCTTCAGGCATTTCAGCGAACACTCTTTGAACTGACTGGTAAGGCTCTGTCAAATCTACCCCCTCTGTCTTTACCCTCCCAGCTGTAATCTAACCCAGCTTCATAAAAAAAAAAGAATAACAAAGACAGCCTTTTGGAACAGTACATATTACTGTAAATGACATTTTAATGGACATCTAAGGCTCAGAGTAAATCCCAAAGGAACCTGTTCAGAAAATCTCCATATTTGCAAGTGGCCACTACATTAGTGGAGCGAAAAGACAAACTCCAGGAGGTTTTCTGCACCAAAGACATGTTCACAAGGTATTCAGCTTCCCCTCGCTAAAAGCAATGTTCAGACAAGATTCCCAACAGACAGGGTCCTAGCTCATGGGCCTATGTGCCTTTCAGGAGTTTCACACTAGAGAAAGTATAAATCTAAAACAGTCGTGCCTGAGGAAGCCTAATAAGCAAAGGCAGCGCTGTGTATTTAAAAAAAAAAGTGTTAAGTAATAATAAGCAACTGTATGAAAGCTGATTTAGATAATACTATTTGTGAATCCAATTAACATTTGTAAGGACAGAGCCTGCTATTATGCATCTACAGTACATTCATCTATCAACAACTGAGTTCTTAATTAGCTGCAATACAAGGTGATGATCCATCCATAAAAGTACGCCAATGCACTGTGCAAAGCTATCATGTCACTAGTCAATAACACCTATAGTCTATATGAACACGCCTGTACAGTCATGGCTTGCTCGAGTTTAAAAGTTTAAAGTGTTCTCCACTTGTGTTTTGTAAGTCCTATATCTTATATTCATAATAATACAGGATAAATCTTTTTACCATTAAAAAAAAAATCCGATATGATGCAAAAATAGTGTATGAAAATATTCAATAGTCCATTACCTTAAAAAGGAATAATCAATGTCAATTTTTGAGCAACGATAAATGTGGATAACTTATTTGAATAGTCGGGGACTGAAACACGATATTTGACTGGAATAAAACATATGGGGGGAACATACTGTATACCGTGTCCTCCTAATTAGAATTTCATAATTTGATACTCCTGATATACAACACATCAAAATGGCAGGCAATGTACATCTAATTCTGAAATTCAATGTGACAAGTGTAGCTCTGTCGACACAGGGATTTGATGCTCACAGGTATCTCTGGCTTTGGAGCCAGAGCTCTGGGGCACTAATCCTCAGAGTGGAGAATTCCACTATGCTAAAGGGCCAGGTCTCCTGATCCAGAATACAACATTAACCTGGTTTCAAGGCAAGTAACATCATCCTTCAGTAACAGGCACAGTATTAAACATACATCAACCAACAGGAAAAACAAAATTAAATCTACAGCTTTGCAGAAATACTGATCCTTCAATTTGGTCTGAAAAATAAATAATATAAATGATACAGTACACAGGCACCCCAGCAATCAGCATTCCTTCGCCAACCAGTAATTTCTTTCATAACTCAAAATAAATTATAAGACAGAATCAGCAGGAGACTTTTCAAAATGAGGAAAACACACTGACTAATGAACCAAGAGACCCCTTAATGCCTCCAGAACATGGGATTTACTGTGCCTTCCAGGTTTATTCCTGCTTCGGATGCAATAGGAACATTAAGCATCATAGAACAGAAGGATTCGTGAACTGGATAATCCACATTCCTCAAAGAAATTCCAAATATTTTAGACTTGAATAGAAATGGCAATTGGAACCTCGTGTGTTTTCCTGCTTTGTCATTCTGAATCTTTTCATTAATGAGACCTTGAAAAGGCTTGCTCACACACAAGGTTACACAGGCTTTCCCAATGGGTTTAACGGTGCAAATCTGACTCCCGACTCCTTATTTATCAACCTAAAATCAAGAAGCCCTGCCAGCAATGTGTTTTTCATCCTCACATCTATATGTAGCAGAGCATATCATCTCAAGAAAAAAAACAATAAAGTAAAAAAACAAGTGATATTAAATTAAGATATTAAAAAACACCTTCAGGCCTACGTAATGAGGTCGTGAACCAACAGGATAACTTGATGTTTTTCTTTTCAATTGGGAAATAAGGTCTATTGCAGAATGATAGTACTCTTCTAGATATGTATATTTTATAGCAGCTCTGTGTAGCTTATTTGAACAGACAGTAATTTCAGATGTAAAAATAAGCCCCAAAAGAAAAGTCTACCAATGTTATGTCTGTTTTAACAGAGCAGCATAAAATGTCCCAAGGCTGTATTATACATTATTTTCTTTTTTTTTCTATTATTAGATACTCTGTTGATAAGCTAAAACATATTGTTGCATATCCACAGGCAAGAAACATCGTCTTACCTGTGACTCCATGTTCTATGCAGAATTCACAGTAATTCTGGAGAGTTCGTAAACCAAGTAATTTAAAAAAACATGTGTCTCAAACTACCTTACTGCAGGGGGGATGAAAGTCATCTAGATTCCTTTCTTTTATTGGATAGCAACACTGCAGTCTGTGCAGAGTAATTTAAGTAAGATCTTGGCGAGTTCAAATATTTGTAAGGAAGGTGCTACAGTACGTTCATCTATCAAAGAGAACAATATGGTTAAAAATGGTTGTGGACACTACACAATTCAAATACTGCATAAATCCTTTTTTTTTCAGATCCTAGTCCTGACACTAAACAGAACAGTCTGGACAACACACATATAAACACATGAAATCAGCAATGGAAAGGAGCTAAATTTATGGATTTTGTTTTACTTTTGATTTAAGCAGTATCTTGAAATCCAGAGTATTCTGAGGAGCACCTTCAATCCTCCCATTAAGGCATGAAAAAAGATCTACATTCAAGTCTCTTTGTGCAAAACTGTAGAAACTACAAAGGAATAAGTAAAGGTTTATTCCTTGCAGAAAAGAGACAATGTTTCAGCCTTCTTATTTGCAGCCTACACATGCTGGTGCAGTTACCTACTGTACTTGTGCTTGTAGAAACTACAGTCTCTTTGGTCCACTTAAACTAATTGAGCATAGAGATGACAAGGCAGTGATATTATCCACATACCAATTAATTAACTCCCTGAACAATTTTTAACATAGGCACCTGCCCTTTATTGTCTACTCTCAATTCCCCTGAGTGAAGCGAACATTCAAGTTTGTTAAATGTTCCAAAATGAAAATACTAGGCACCAACTGTACTGTACGCTTTTGAACTAGGAAAAATAAATGGCATTCAGCAACTTTTCTAGATCCATGATCAGCAATATATCAGAATTAAAACTCACCACAATCGTGCAGTGGAGGGGTTTTGTATAGACAGCCTGTATTCGGGTGAGTGGGACACCAGCCCTGTTAGAAGAAGCGGAAACCAGAGAAATCTGGCCAGAGCGGAAATCATGTTCACCAACCTGCTGCTCTGCAGCGACTCCTACAGTTTGACTGGGGAGCTGTCCGTTTCCTGTTGCAATGGACGGGCGCTTTAATTCGAGGTGTTGGGGTCCCCCCTAGGGCTGTCGAGCTCTTCTCCGAAGCAAGGATCTGCCACAACCTGGTAGGACTGAAGCGCAGATGATTATAAACAGGGTATCAAAGTGTTTGGATTAAAATGCTCCCTGAGGCTGCGCTCTCCAAGGCTGGCTGATGGAAAACCAGGCGCAAGCCCGTGTGAAAAACGGTTGAATGTGGGGAAAAACTGAAGGAGCTTCAATGGTGCAGGAGCCACAGACAGATCATAATCATTACTTCAAATCTTTAAAGTTACTGTATTTACTGTGCTGGGGTCTATTCAAATAATGTAGCTAGAGTGATCGAGGTCTTCCCAGAATCTTCTAGCCCACATTACTGATTTGGTTATTAAGAACATTTTCCAAGAGGAAGAACACTACTGAGATCCATGTTTTAATGCTGGCAATCATGTGACCCATTCCAGCAGTAGTTTTGCTACTAAAACATGTTGCAAAGATATTCTGCTGTGCAAACATTCAGAGAAACATGTAAAGGAAACTCGATGTACAAATCCAGACCCCTTTTGTATTCACGAAGGCACACGCAGAGTTCGTTCAATGGGGTGAGAAAGGCCGAGGTCATTTCTTCTGATTTGTTCCAGTCGCTGAATCGTTCGTATTGCTGCACACCACGTTACTGAAAAAAGCACACAGGGGCAACTACAGAGCCTGACCTCATCACATCCAGCACTGGGTGAAAAGAAATTCGAGGGACGGATATATTCTATTACGGTGAAACTCAAGAGAGCTAGGGGCTTCGCTAGCCGTTGTGAGAAACACTCAGGCGGACATGCTGATCCATAGAGCTTGGTACGAATGTACGTGGATATCTGTCCTTGTCTCGGACCACAACCCAGATCACAGAAAAAAAAGGCTAAACGAATCAGAAGAGAGGTGTCTTGTTCTCCCACCCTGTTGTGTCTGGTTTTGTAATGGTAGCTCTAGGCAACATAATGAACAATTCTCCTTCAATTCAAACAGCTGTTTGGGGGAGAAAAAAGGCTGGAAGGGAGCAGTTCTGGAAAGAAGTATTACAAATAATACATTTAAAAAAGCAGATTGCTGCGATATCCACTGAGAAACACGTTTTTATAAAGACCACTTGAGGAAGGACTTCCAGCTAACTAGGAATTATTTAGGGAACCAGCGATCTTGACAGACCATTCAAGTATGGACTGGGCTTAACTGTAGTACTCCAATCACCTGCTGAAGAAGAAGACATTTAAAACCAATAACAATGTGCATTTTGTGCATTGTTCACACCCTGTTACCAAACTACAGAGACCCTAAAACACTCAATCTCCTATAAATTCTTCTATTTTACAAGCCTGACAGGTAATTAAGTAGTAATAACTGAGCAACTAACCCTTTTGCATTGTTTAACAAGGCTACCAAAGCTCTATGCAAATGAACAAAAGCGCTGTGCTTAGTTAAAATCACTTAACCCTCTGCACCCATCAACAAAAGGAAAAGTGTGCTTTTAAATAGAACTAAATTACTGACAGTGATTTGAAAATGATGCTTAATGTGCTCCAGCATAAAGTAATATGCTGGGCAGTTCAGTGTCATCGTCTTCACACATTAATATTCTGACACAGCAGAGCATCAGTCATGCTGTACGGAACACTCCTTTCTAAAGTGCTCCAGTTGTATAAACAAAACATTTCGCATAGATGAGTCACATTCACCATCACTCCCTGTCTGCTGCACTGGCATCCTTTCAACCTACACACTTATTTCAAGAAAAAAAAAAAAGTGTTTCAGTACATTATATACTTAATCTTTTCAAGAGCAGCCAGAAAACACTGACCAGAAATCTGGGAATATTTAGGAAATGGAATGACTGGAAATGGGAAGGGTAAAAAAAAAAGAGCTTTTTATTGGCAAAAGCAACTTTTAAATAAAGCACAAAAATATACAGTAGATATAAAAATGACAACCCTGTCAATAACGGAATAAGAAATCTAACCTCACACTCAACACAGAATATTTGACGTTCTTCTTTCGATATGTTAATGCACTTCATTAGGAGGGTGGCCTATCCTTTGCTTTCAGTATAAATTCTTAATAATCACAAACAAGAACTGCAACGTGACTGCATGCCTGCATATTTCTACACACCAAAGCTCAAGGCAGCTCGAGGGTAATACACCCATGATGTTTTGGGAACAGATTCTTCACCTCTTTTTCAGAACATTCAATTAAAAAAAATAAAAGACTTTGTGGTCTGCCAGTTGACTTTGTGTTTTAACACTTTCCATGTTTAAGCCATTCTCTGTTTCTAAACCCTTTCAAGCAACGTTTGACGTCACCTACAGAAGATCACCCATTCAAGGTCCTTGACAGTACATTGAAGTGGTTATAGTGAAATGCATTTCTCTCCTTTTCCATAAGACTATTCAATAAAAATGTTGAGGATGATTTCCTCTCAGCACATTGATCCTGTTTAGATTTACATCAAAATTTGCTTTCCATTGTGTTGTACAAAATAGGTGGTACGCTTCACGCCTGACAAATCAGCAGAATACTTAAAGAATTAGCATATGTATATATCTTTTGAATACTTTTGGTAAAGAAAGACTTGAAAGATAATGAACCTGCTGTAGAAAGGTCATAACATCAGTCCTGGATTTCTCGTCTTCTGTGCTTAAATACCCCTACACATCAGCCACGCACTATACAGACATTGAAACAGCGTCTTTAAAACCATTTGTCACAGACTTTTCAATTCAAATATCTTGTTATACTTCCAAATTAGAAATTCTAAATTAGGCATCCGTGTCTTATCATATTGTGACTTTTTTTATTCAAAGTTTGGTTCTTTGTTTGGTCCAGAAATAACCAGGCATATTGTCTCAATCCAATTCCACTCCAAGATTTGAAATACCAGCACAAGCTCGGCGATCATAAACCACCATTAAAAAGAACTTGGTTGGAACTATGACAGCTTATGCGAGACATTCAGCTAAAAAAACCTTGTTTCAATAACGCAGCAAATATTCAGGACTGAATCCTACTCTACAACAGACATGAGCCAAATGCTTAATTTTAAAATTGTTTGCACGGTCCTGTTGCGAATGCATACAGTATATGTACACACCTGTGACAAGTAAAACCCGTTATATACAGCACAAAATAGACATGATGACACAGGAATGCAAATTAATGTATATTAAAGTATTTTAGTGCCGTAAAGAGGCATAGGCAAACATTTGGATTGCTTAAAACACATTCATATTCTGATACAGTCTGTATGCCATTTTGAGGGCAAGCACACATAAACATATCTACAGTAATTAAGAGCTATAGTATAATACTTGTAATCTGTCAATCACCGTATAAGTTCCACAGAAATGTGAATCTGGTCACTGTATAATAATCATTCATTATAGCCTTTCTTGAATATGTTTTTTGTTATTGTTGTTTCATAGTGGAAGTAAAAGGCACCTGTGTGGAGTAATACAGTTTGATTTAAACCTGCCACGAAACACAATATCACAAAGCCTTTACCTGCTCGCCTACCATAACAAAAGCAGATTACAAGATTGCAAAATGTTATATTTTTAAATAATATTAACCTCTGTCCTGTGTATGTAGACAGCATCTATGGAAATAATACTTCTATTAAGGAGATGTCACCTAGGCCATTTTACAAATCTGATTTTAAAACATCCAGTAAAACAAATCACAGGCAAATGTGAAACTACTTCATTTGCAAAAGACGTATCGGTGCTCCTTAAGAATGCTTAAATCTTGCCACTTGAAACTAGAATGAAGAGCAAATAAATTCTGGTTTGTTATTGTAATGTACTGCACCTTCGCTTATCGTGCAAGAGCATCAGCGTCATGAAAGATTACACTTTTTCCCATAAGAAAGAGCGCCTGTGTGGCATTAGGAAATGAACTAGAAAAATGAAACCAAAAAAGCAGAAGAGAAATAAAAAAATGTGTCAGGTCACTATAGGCTCAGAAGCCCTTTCTGCTGACTCAAGATACATGAAAAAGACTAACCCCTTGCAAAGCACTAGGGTTAACATGTTATTCTCAGAAGACTTAGAGCAATATACAAACTGGCATAATGCAGTACATCTTATACTGTATGTAGAACAGACATTTCAGGTTTGCTTTAGACCTCTAATTTTGTCTTGTACATGCAGTTACTAAACAGATACACCAAGAATGAAAGAATCGCATGCTTTTGTACATTTTGTCTATTTACAGGTCTCCTGGGCAGTTTGTCAAATGGCATCAAGAAGCAAGAGCAGAATTATTTCAAATATTCCTAATACATACAAAATATTGATTTCATGCATACATTAAATTGCTGAAAGTTAAAGAAACAACAATCATTAAAGGTTTATTTTGGATCATGGAAAGGTAACTACGCTCGTGACATCAGTATGGGAAGAGTGAATTATTTTTACCCGGTCTGTCAAACCCACTCTTACTGTGAAAAGGGCCTGTATAACTTCCTTTGCTCAAGAGAAGGAAATTAAATGAAAATGTCATGTTTTTTCATGTCAAGGAGACCATTTAACTGTGCAATACTGCCAAATCTACTGTGCTATAACTTGCTTTGTGGAGATTTCCAATTCCTTATAGAAATGTAAACAAAACTGCACTTGAACGCCAGACACCCTTTCTTTTCGTACATGTGTTTAACAATCCTTCTCTGCCCCCTTTTTGTGCGAGTTCCCCTCTTCTGCATGATTTTTTCTACCTGTGGTTTTTGCGCTGTTCCGTTCTGTTTAATGTTACACATACAAAATTGTAAAAAAAAAGAACTCCAGAAAGATTGCCAAGCAAGCGCATGAAGACTGCTGCATTTTTGTCATCTTTTCCCAACGACCACTGTTGATTTTGGAGAGCACAATGTGCACAAAACCATATTTTTAGCCACTCATTCACTATGGCCCATTCTTTTTTGGAATATGTATTTTATGTTGAATTTGGTACTTTAAAAATTCCCGGCATTCCAGGCAAAATACAGCACATGCAACGCTTTCTCGTCTAATCGCCTTTGAAAATGGTCAGAAGCAATTTTTAATTGCAT